AGAGTGTGGAATAATGTGTTTTGCTTGTAGGTTTTGTAAGTCTAGGTGGCCAGGGTGGGAGAAGGATAATCAGTGGCAAATTGCTGATTATTTTGAAATCTGCATGGATATAATCATACTTTTGCTCTTTTTCTCCCTTTATTTCAACAAAGCCATCTGAAGTTGAAGAAAAAGCAATTAAAAAAGTGGATGAGCTTCTTGAAACATACATGGGGATAAGAGATATTGAATTAGGTGAGTTTTTAGCAGATAAGTTACTATAAGGTTAAATAATTTCTCATTTTCTATAGTCTAAAATTTATTGAGTACTTTAGTCTCTGGACGTAAGCGAAGCAAAATTTGTCCAGCATGCAGTCTGAAAAACTTGCCTGTGTTTCTGCAAATGTCTCTGATAAAAGAAAGAATTCCTCACTGCATGCCTTATGATGTAATTAATTAATCCTCTATTCTCCTTGCACATTATCTATACACTATTGCATGAATTATTTAGTTGTTTGCCATTAAATGTTGTCACTGTATTCTTTCTGGCATATATTTTCTAGTGGTGCCTGTGTGTACCACATTTAAGGATTGCTGAAGATAAGCATGTCTGTTTGCTTTTTTGCTCTTTTGCCGCTTGGCTTAGACACATCAAAGTTGATCACTAAAGTTTGAATCTGAGATCTTCAGTGAAAGGGCAACTATTTAGCAAGGGCACTGACAGACTAATTGCACGAATTTGTGAAATTCTCTAAAGCCCATGTTCTGAAGAACACAGGAAATTTCCCAGAATATTTACTAGCTATCGCAATCATCAGGTTATAATGAAAGAAACGATTCAACTCCAGTGTCCTAAGTTCCTTAAAAGGGCACCAAACTTGTCCTTGCAGCTGTTGTTTCTCTCTGTTAATCTGACAACAACTAAATCGGAACTTCTGTTTGTATGGGAAGAGGCTGCAGTCTAGCTGAGTAAGAAGTGCTGCTGCAGCCAGCTGTGCCTGGGTGTAGTCCTCAGACAATCTCGTGGAACTGCTAATACTGAGACAGAGAGGAAGGTATTTACTGTCATGGTAGTAGCTAAAAGTATCAGCCAAGAATTAGGAAAGGATAGGCTAAATGAAAAGCGATCTTGAAAAGAAAGCTTTTGTGAGAGAGAAGTGGAAGAGGCAAAGCAGAAAACAGGTCTGGCGTGAAGCTAAGGGCAAAGCAGGAGGGTTGGACAGGCAGCAGTTAGCACAGAGGAGTGGGAACAATAGGAGATTATCTGAATAGCTAAAAGCCCTTTGTTGGCTGCTCCTACCAGCAAGCATCTGATTGGCAGTTTCTACTAGCTTTCTTGCAGGAAAAATCGTAGCTAAAGTATTATTTGTCCCCCGGCTTAAGGTAGAAGTGGGCTTCCTGGCATAGAAGAGAGAGCAGAGCTGCTCAAAACTTGTGGATTCTGTTTTGTAGCTGATATCTAAATCTTCCAATTCCCAGAAAACTAAACATTCTCAAAAATTCTGTTCCCAGCAGCTCTAATATGTGATGCCCCCCCCTCCCCCTGCCATGTAATATGCTCCCAGGAGCCCTGTGTGGTGCTGACCCTCTGTTTAGGTTAGGGAGGATCCCATGTCCTGTCACTCTTCTGCAGCTTCCACCTCTTGATTTGTCTTCAGCTCAGGCTTCAAAGCACCCGAGTCTCGTGCCAGCTGTTTCTCTGGGAGCTGTTTTTGTCCTGCACCTGTTGGAGTACTGGCTCAAGCTGGGCTTCTGGAGGCTCCTGTCCTTGCAGGTTACCTTCAAGGTCCTGACCCTACAGGAGGAAGTGGTTATAGGTGTTCTGGTGTCTATAGCCCAGAACACTGAGATCCTAGGCTAGAACATGATTTCTTGGGATGTTGAGGTGCGATATGCTCTGCTCTGGGATAGGGAAACAAGTTCCTGTGGTGTTCCCTGTGGTTTTGGCTCTCAGTATGTAATGGGATGGCTCTTGTTCAGTAGACTGAGGAGTTCAGCTTTCAGCACATATGGCTGAGCTGATTGCCAAGCACCTGTAGAGTTTTCCCATCAATTCCTTGATTTTTTTTTTTTCCCCCCAAAAGATCTAGTGTCCTTCATCTTTCAGTATGTAGTTTGGAAAGTTTCAAAGAATGCCTTAAAAGAACACTCAAAGAAGGAAGAGGTCTTTGTCCTCAAAGAGACTTTCTTCTTCCTAACTGGGTTGTTGTTTTGCCCTTCACCTCTTCCTTCTCTTCTTCCCAAACAGACTGTGAAACAAAGAGAAACTCTCAGGAATCAGAGACTACAGGGTTCACTTAACTTTAGTTTGCACCTTTGAAGACATTTCCTAAAGTTCAAATCTTAGAGTCGAGGGCCAATGGTGATGGGAGGAAAAAAAAAAAAGTTTTATCATTTTTAAACAGTTAAATAGCTCTAGGGCTCTTTAGGAAAGGAGAGCTAATCACCTGTCACAAATCTGTTCAATTAACATATGTCAGTTTTTTCATACACTGGGTGTGATCAGTCACCCATGAAAATGAAATATGAGGAAAGGATTCATTCAGAGAATGCCAATCACCACTCAGCTAGAAATTTCACTCATTACTCAAGCCAGATTAGTTGAAAATGCAAGTCATCACAATGCGACAGCCGACAAGTGATTAAGATCTCAATCATGGCTCACTCCCATGCAGTTCTGTTTGTCAGAAGCTTTGGATGTCAGTTAATATTGCTCTTTCATCTCCATTAAAATGACACTTCCATGGTGTGATTGAATTCTAAAACAGTGCCTCAGTTTTAAGCCAGAAGTTAGAAAGAAAGGAAAGAAAAAATAATGTAAAATTACAGACAGAATTAAAGATGAGATAAAGCCCTTAATTTTTGCATAGTTAAGTATCTTGACAGTTTCAGGAATGGCTGACTAAATCTACACACAAATCCCTAAGTTGGAGCAAAATGCTTGGAAATCATTTAATGGAAATGCAAAATGCATACACTTTTTTTTTTTGGCACAGTTTTTTATTTTCAGAAATCTAAATGCCATTGAGATTTACATACCTGTCTCTTCAATGCACTTTTACCTTTTTACCTCTTTATTTTACTGAAAACTGGACTTAATCTGCAGAAAGGACACTTGGCTCTGGAAATGTGTTTCTCAGCCATTTTATGGGCACATTAGAAACTGGGCCAAGCTTGACTTCAGCCTTCTTTAAAACATAAGTGTGCCATTGAGAGGTAATTCAGGTTATTTTAAATCCTGTCAGTGCTTTCTGGTAAAGGAACTTGAACAGGTGATGAATAGGAGGGACTCAGGAAGCAATGTTAGTGAAAAATACTGGTCACATATCTTTTCAAATCAGTGAGGCTTGAATTGTTATTCAATTCAAAGATATTGAATTGAATAATTGATATCCTCCCACCCCCAAAGATTGCAGGTGGGAGGAAGCCTGGATCTATGGGATCCAACCCCAGAATGCTACCGATGGACAAATCATGGCAAAAAGGGCTTCCTGTCCAACTTTTTTTCTTTCAGCATCTTTTGGCTAGCTCTTTCTCCACTGGTATTTTGTTCTGGGAATTTTGTGAAAAAGGGAAAGGTAGAAAGTCTGGTTAAACAAGAAAACTTCTCTACTCCAAGAAGAATTAGTACTTAATAAAAAGAAACAAGAAGAAAGGATATTTCTAATGGTTCCTTGAGTGCCAGATCTGACAATGTTCAACATGAAACTAAACCCAAGTATTGTTAAACACTGGAAATTGCAATGACACGCTTCATTTTTCTGTCATGTCATAAGGAAGTTGAATGTGAATTTTAGCTCTTTTAAAGTGTCAGGCCAGAATAATAATATTTGTTACCTTTTGATGAAGGCAAAGCTTCTGATAGCATTACAGCTAAATAAATATTGAAGTTTCTGTTAAGACTTCTGAAAAAGTTTTTTTTTAGAAGTTACAGGATAGGATATAGCTAGCAAAAACATTCTGTAAGGTAGATAATAACAATGGCAGGCAGATTGTAGCTTTCATGGCTTGTGCTGCATGTGTCTATCAAAAGTGAAAATAAGGATTTTATGAAAGATCTTTGAAGTTATTTTAAAGGGACTAAGTTTAAAAAGCCAACATAGTCCTTTGTTCATATTCTGGGAAGCCTGATACTGAGCTTCTCCGGTAAAGTTGAGAAGGCCTCTAATTCCTTTCATCACTTTTAAGTTTGCTGAACTTTTCACATTTTATGTAAAAATTTCTCAGGTATGAGCATTGCCTGAAGTGAGTTTTTAAAAAAAATAAATAAATCTGAGAACAATTGGGGCTATCTGGAGTGTGGAAAAATATTCTGTTGGAATAAAATTTGTGTAATCACTTATTGTGCAGCTGTTACAAGAAGCAGTGGGGGAAAGGGAGGGGAGCGGAGGCAATTTGGCACGGAGCTGTCACCCTCTGAGAACCAGAAAAGTTTTCTTGAAATTGGCAACTATCTGCTGAATGCCTTGGCAATCGGCAGTTTTTGATTTGCCTTGGGAATTACGCGTTGGGAATGTCATTGTGTAAACATGCATGTTCTGCACAGCTGTGTTGCCTGGGGGATGCCACCCCACGTCTGCGCTGGCTGAAATAAGAATTACATACATGGGGCGATAGAGGAGACTGGTCGGCTGTAGTGTTCCTGGCTGTATGAAACCAGTGAAGCAGGGTTCAGCTTTGCACGTTCGTATACATCAGGGGTACGGCTCGCGTGTGAAAATCGGGAAGGATGGATGGCTTGCATCTTGCATTCGCCTTTGCTGCGCGGTTGTACAACTCTGCTGACACTAGAGGTCAGCACCAAGCTATCCAAAAACCTGCACCCCAGCTGCCACGGTCCGCGGGCCTTCCACAGAAGCCTATTTCGTCGCATCAGGTGAATCTGGGGAGGGGAATGTGCTTTTCTATACAGAGTACATTAAAGATACCCTGGTAGCGCTGATTACAGTTGCTCGATACAGTTGAAAACACTTCTGTTTGAAGCTGCTGCTTCTTTCGCATGGCGGTGATGTTCTGACTCCTGCTTGATGGGGTTGAAAGTTGTCTTGATTGTCTAAATTTAGAGGATTTTGTTTTCAAGTTTGGTAAATCTCTAATAAAATATTTTTAAGATTCTATTTTATAATTTTGGAAGCTCAATCTTTGAAGAAAATTGTGTTTGAATAACATTTTCTGTCAATGACAGAATTTATTAATGTTGTAATTCTGAGGTTTCAGCTAGGGCAGTTGGACTGTAACATACTGCTGTGTTACCTTGTTTTATTGCTGCTGTCTGTGTCATATGGCTCTTTCATATATCTTGACCGATTTATCTTAAAACTGGCTAAATTCCTTGCTCCCACTCTTTCTGCTAGAACGCTTGTCTAGATCCTCACTCTGATGATGGCAACATTTTTTTAATATCTTGAGTAACTATATGTAGACATGTTTGCTCTTGCGACACCTTGCACAGCTCTTCTTCCTCCAACCCTCTCCCAGTTTTATATACGGTAACTTCATATCCTGGTTCATATCCAGAAATCTGTGAAGTTTAAATTACACCCTTCACCTCATTACCTCCAGGATTGCTCCTCTGCAAGTACCTTCTCATGCCATGGTGTCGGGGTATATAGGTGGTGGTGATAGGACAAATACTTGTCTTCTGCTTGTCAGAAGCAAGATTCCCCTGCTTAATGCCTGTTTCCCATCCAGACTGCTCTGAGTCTCAGTGTCCCAGGAACTTCCCAGGGAACACAGAAAGAATCGACGCAGTAGGAATAGGGTTTTTTCTAACAGGGAAACAGGTCCTGAGAGTCCTTGAGAAAACCACTACTAGTGCCCGGGAAGCTGGGTTCCACTTGAACTGCCTCAATCACAGCATTTCGTTTGTCAAGATTTACGTAAATTTTCCTTGGACTGCTTTGTGTTGTTTGGCATACTGCGTATTCTTTTTGGAGCCTCACATCTCAACGTAGTTAAAACCAAAACGTCAAATTTCTTCTGACTTACTGTTGATGACATCTACGATGTGGAACATGGCTCATGTTTGCTCACAGCTTGTTACAAGTTTGCGTAACAGCACACGCTGTTTGCCAGAAGTTCGTAACTGTTAATAAACTTGAGCTGAGTTTCAGGTCATCAAAATAATATTAAATATATTTATTAAAAGTTCAGAGCAGGGGAAAGTTTCTTTTCCTTTTTATCAGAGAGATTTTGCTGTGTAGGTACAACACAGTGCATGCAGTTGATGGCATTCTGTCCCAGTGAAGGTGATCTGTGGCTTCAGAACTTCCTTCCCTTTCTCAGGCACTGTGATACATGTTTTCCACTCAAATATCCCTCTGAGAAAAGGCTAGGAGTTATCAATCAGTTATTCTTCAGTGTGACACTTGAATTTGATATGCTCATGAAGAAAGTGGTGGTTACTTGATGTATAAGAAAAGACAGAGAACATCTTGCAGTTTAAGGGATGTGTGTAAATAATCATGACGTGAAGCAGGGGTTGCTTTGAGGGTTTCATCTGTTGTACAATACTGCCTTTTCTTGTGCTTATGAACCTACTAGCTTGGTTGTATGCATCTGTTATGCAGGAGGTCTGTTGTTTTCCATGTTCAAAACCTATGCCTTGGCCACTTTAAACTCTGACTTGCTGAGATCTTTTCTTTTTGTTTAGAGGAGAAAAACATTCAGGTTTGTCTTTTGATATTCTGGTTTGGATCTGCAAGCTCATACCAAACTCACTGAAGTTGGTAATGAACTGACATGAGTCTTGTTATTGCAGGACAGTTGTGCTTAACCTTGTTTTTAGACCCACGCTTCATGAGCCTTCAGTAATGAATACAGAATATAATTTAATAAGATTAAAATGAAGGTTTGTTGAATTAAAAATTAAACTTCTGCCAAACAAACAAGAATATATAATGAGCACTCCAAGGAAGCTCTCCTCTTTATCAGAGCAGAATGTAGCTCGTGTGGGGGATTTAAGTAGATAATTCCTATTGAATCCTAAATTCAGTAGGTAAGCTTTACCTCTCCCTAAGCTGACCTTACCAGGTTTTGAAAATAGACATTCAAAAACTATCTTGGCCATATATGTTAGCTGTCACTTTCATGATAATTATTTTGTTTTGTTGCTTTTTAGCTGCAACAATGGTGGAAGCTGGAAGGGACAAGAAAAACCCAGATGAATTTGCAGTGGCATTGGATGAAACTCTTGGAGACTTTGCCTTTCCAGATGAGTTTGTCTTTGATGTATGGGGAGCAATAGGTGATGCTAAGCAAGGACGACTGGAATAAGAACTGCACAGTTTATCAATCCCTATTTGAAAATACAAAATTATTTTCAAATACATGTATCAGAATTTTAATACTCTTATTGATATGAATTCAGGGTGCTCTGTATAAGTATTCTTATCTGAAACTTTCTTTTCCAAAGAAAGGTTTTGAATAGAAGTATGAAGATAAATCCAAAGTTCTGACAACTGTACATTTAAACCAAACATCTTATTTACATGTAGAAATCACTGTGAGTAGTGTCTTAAGGAGATATATTTATACAGACATTTAATGAAAATTAGGTATTTTTTATTGTACGTACACTTTGATATCAATATTCTAAAGAGTGTTAGACAAATGCAACAAAGAGTTTGGATTATTTGATCTCTCTTTAGAAAGGTTTATAAACTTGTTGAAAAACTACGTAGCTACACACTGCACTTCCCTGGTCTTCTGTTGTCCTTGTGTAGTCACATACACAAATTGCTGTGGAAAACCTGAAGCCTTAGGTTTTCTTGCCATTTTGCCTGGATGTAGCCTTTTCTGTAGGCAAAGCTGGGAAGAAGCTACCCTGTTCCTGAAGAACCTGAGTTCAGGGGAGAAAAAAAAATATTCCTCCAAAACATGAGAACTAAGAACTTTGAATGAAAAAGGCTTGCTTTCATTTGACTCATAATACACACTGGCTGAGTATTACTGAGATGAGTAAGTATAGTAGAAATGCTTTATTTAGATGCCGTATTATTGCAATAGCAACTGCCTAGGAAGAAACAAATGCTAATTTTGATTACTATGCATATATTTGAACAATGTCTGCGATCTGGCACTGGATACTATAGTGTATGACTAAGTGCTTAATTGATCTTTGCATGTGCTAAATGATTTGCTGAGATCCTATGGAATTCCCCTTTTGTCGTGTTTGGTTTTTTTCAACATGGGAGAGACATTGAGGGTGTTCAAATCTGGAAGATATTATTGTAAAGTCACAAACAATTGCAGTTTGGATGAAAATGCATGCCTAAACTCTGAAAAATACATTAAACTAATTTTACATGTTAGGTTTTCCAATTATATTGTACATAAACATTTATTTTAACTGATAATATTTTACTAATAAATCTCAGATTATTAAAAATAAACTGTCTCTTTTAACACATCTACCACGCCTGCATTTGTCCTCCTGTTCTCACTGTGTTTAATGAAGAGCAATGCAACGAGTTGTGTTTTACTCAGAACAAGATTCTTTTTCAGTTTTTGCTGTGCTTGGTTTTAATCAATACAGATATTTGCTTATTTGTTTAGAAAAAGCTACTTTGAAGTAATTACTATAGCCAAATAATGTGTCATGAGTGTCCTTGAACATGAAATTGAACAATAATGTAGGGCCTGACCTGGGAAGGTGTCATAGCTTTTTAGTATTTATATATTTGCATAAGCATATAAAATAATAGGTATTACAAAAGTTTTTTTCTAAATCACTGCCTAGTTACTTTTCTTCTGAGGAAAATATCTTTCACTGTCTTGCAGAGATCTCCTTAAAGTAAAGACTATGCCAATAATTTTACCTGTTCTATGTCAATTTTGTTTGTTTGTTTTTGCCTAAACCCATGGCACTCTGAAGTGTCATTGAGAGAACAGGCCCTCATTCTGTTCACTGTGTTATTTAGGAAGGCTCCTAAACTCCGCTTCAGTCTTCCACACGTGTTACAATACGTGAATATTTTTTCTAGTTATGAAATACTGCATGAAATCTTACAAATACTGTTCAATGGGGATAATCTCCAATTTTATAAATAATGTTGTGAATATTTTTCTTTTGTATCTCTGATTTAAGGAAAAGCTTTCACATAATATAGATACTGATTTTTATGGAATGAGTAGTACAGAGCAGTATGGAGGTCATATATTTTATTGTATTTAAGAAGTTCAAAGGTGTCAACATTTCTCTTCATGGTACTAGTGCCTCATATCACCCATGTGGCATAGAATGTATATGTATCTTCAAACAGATGTGGTTATTATCAATTTCTGTATGTAGAAATACATATAGATACAAAAATTTAGGCTATTCCCAAGTTGTGCAAAGTAAAAATATTCAATTTTCTAAGAAAATTTGAGTTTTAGTAAAACTTGAAAATAAAATGAAAGAAACTTTGTAAGAAGGTGGTTAAGTTTTATACATCCTGTTGCTCAGTTGGGCCATGAGGATGTGTTATTCTGAGAAAGGAGTGTAATTTTAGGACAGATAGCACAAGGTGGATAGCTGTGTTTGATAATTGCAAGTCTGAGCCCACAATCTTCTGTTGCAGTTGAGCACACTCTGTCTTACACAGGGCTGCTTTAACTGCTGTACTCTTGGTAATGAAGAGTTAAAGTATTGTGGGCCATGTAATTTATTCTTTAAACTTCTTTTAGGTGAAAAGGAAAAATGAAATGTCAAGAATTCCCTGTTGGTTCTAAATTGTTTTACATAAAACTCAAATGTCAAATTTTGTGGAAATGTTTATGTATACTAATGTTAGTAACCAACATGCCAATGATTATAAAATCAATTAAAGTTAAGAATTTCTTCTTAAACAGCAAAGAAAATGTACTATGGAAGAGTCGTATTATAAAACAATACATGAAATGTTACCTGTAGTAGATAACCCCTGGTGTGTTTTGGCTGTTCATTTTATTTTGAGAAATTAATGTTGTTCAATCAATTTATCCTCAGAGGATAATTTGTCTCATTGCACTGATAAAATAGCGAGATAAAAATAACCTCTGAAGCTTTGATTCTGCACAGAGCTGTCTCTTGTCATAGTGGCCTATCTTTGTGGAGTTTATTTCAGAACTAAGATTTAAATAATGATTGCAATTTTACTAGCATTTACTGCAATAAAGCATGTCGATATATCTTAACATTTTTTCTGAGTTCTCATTTATGCATACGCTGTTTCCAGCACGTAAGACATAATGGTACCACTACCCAATTTACTAGATTATTTGCATTTTCCAGCTATGCATGAATAAGTTGTCACGTGAAAATCACACTACCTTATAATATAAAAGATAAATACTTCTCACTCTTTGTAATGATTTGTGTATAAATTAATGTTGTTTTACTAATGAAATACAGCCTGCAGAACCCTTTAAAACCTACTCAATAAAGACACTAAAGCCTTTGCGTGGTGAAAATGCCATTAAATGTTGCTACAAAAATCTAAATTAATTCGAAGTACAAGTTCTAGTTAACGTAAGTACTGATCAGTGCAAGACTACAAACATCTTGTTAGTGTGTGTTGCAGGTGGAGGTGAATGTTGGTGAACAGTCCTCTCAAAATGTGAGGCGAAATGAGACAAGGTAGTAACCCAGCCTGAATGCTATTCTAAAAGTACCGGATTCCTTATTCTTGTAATTTGGCGCACGGTTTGCGGGGAGCTGGCAGACGTATGCAATTATTTGTGCTTTTACTTCCAGGCTTACTGCTGTGTTGAAGATGATGGAAAATACACCACTATTTTTCTCTGTAAGCAACAGTCTTTAGATGCAACAAGGGGATTTAATGAAGTCTGGTGTTCATGAAGTTCTCAGCTCATAATCTTAAAAATATGATGAGCGATGAGTATTTCACACTTTTAAAAGAACTAATTTTGCAAATTACAGATATATCTTTTGTGACACCTTTAGTATGCCAGATGTTGCTTCAGCTGAATTTGATGTTATGCAACTCTATTCATAATACAGTTGTTATTGAAATAGCTATTAATATAATCAGTGTATTTGGGAAAATCTCATCTGCTGTTCAGATTTGCACCTTGATTTGAATAATACATATATTCTTATTTCTGCATATGATTTTTTTTTCAAAAATTATCTATTTCCTTTTTATTTTTTTTAGATAAACATAAAGCTTTGAAAATCTTGTTCTTATTTGAGAGCGGAATATTAATCTTAAAGTTAGGCTAATTTATAATAGTTAAGAAAAAGCTATCAGGCAAGATGTAAAGCAGGGTGTAAAGTTTTGAAGTGCCATCTGTGATGACAAAAAAAGCAAATTGTGGATTCTTTTTCTGCTTTTTAATGTGAACTTCTGCTGCATTTCAAATTGCATATTGTTTTTTTCATGAAAACGGCTCTGAGAATTTGTATTCCAAAATCTGAATATTGTAGTAAAATGATATATTGCTCTTAGTTTTCTTTCTGCCGGGAGATATTTCAGAACAATTGGAAGTCAGGGTGTTGACTGTTTGCCCCTTTTGAAATCAAAGGCATGTTTGCCATGAACTCCAGAACTCCACTCCAGCAATATAACCTTAATCTGAAATTTATATTCAATGTTACTTTCTTTTTCCAATTCTCTGATTCCCTGTGTTTGTTATGCATTTTGTCTTTAGATGTTGATATACTTTGAAAGATCTGTGATTTAGTTTATGAAAATATGAACAAATTTACAGGCTTGGAAGTCAAAGACAGGGAAAATCCTCAGCATTTCTTGAGGATACTTGTAAGTAGTAACAATCTTTGATTAAAAAAATGCAGTCTGCAGTACAGACTTTATCCTCAGAAAAGGTATATTCAATGTGTGAGATTCAGGGAATGACAACTAAGAAGAAAGACTGAGACACCATAAATGTAAAGAAAATGTATCTTTATATCTTTTTTTTAATTATTGAAACACATGCACTGGCTTTAAATAGAACAACGTAAGGTCTGTAGATTGAACAAGCAACCTCCTGATGTGTTTAGCTGCCCTATCTCTCAACTCTGTTGCTTGTAAACAGAGAGGATGTGAACAGCTTTTTCAGGTTTCTTTTAAATAATGGCAGTCCTTACCTAAATCTCTATTGCTATGTTAGAGCTCTTTCAGAAAAAAATGTAGCTGTTGGTTTTGTAGCAGAATCATTCATCTGTGGGATTCTCTCAGTTCCCTGAAACCTAAAGCAGATTTTTCAAGTTGTCATAAACTTAATTTTACTGTATAGTATTTGAAAGAGGAAAAAATCAGGGAGAAATTAATGTCTACTTTTCTTTGAAATGAAAGGATATCTGGCAGTTCCTGCTTTTTGGAGTTATTACTGCAGTACTTCTGCTGCAGTGACCTGTGTGTAGGATGCTGAAGAGTTAC